GAGATTCGTGAGTACGACAATACAATGAGCTTGGAAGTAGGGTCGAAGTTTGTTTGCTGCCATCACTACGGCCAGCGCCGCTTTCTCAATGGGCGCATATCTTGTCTCGTGACCCACCATGGTTCTGCTCACATAATCCACTGGTTTCTCTTCGTTCGTCAATGGGTCTTTGGATATGAGAACCGCACTCACAGCAATGAGAGACACGGCGATGTATAAATATAGCACTTCCTTGTTCTTGGGCGCTGTCATCACCGTAGGTGCCGTGAGCAATTTCTTCAAATCTTCGAAGGCTTCATCACACTCATGAGTCCATTTGAACTTGGATGCCTTCTTCAACACTTTGAAGAAGGGAGCGCCCCGGTCGGATGACCTTGGGATGAAGCGCCCCAATGCCGCCAGCCTCCCTGTCAACACTTGCACCTCCTTGGGCGTCCGGGGGGACCCTAAACTCATAATTGCTTCGACTTGTCTGGGGTTGGCCTCAATTCCCCGCCTTGTTATCATGAACCCCAAGAACTTCCCTGCTTCTGCCAAAAACACACATTTTTTGGGGTTGAGCCGCAACTTGTAGTGTCGCATCGTCTCGAAAGTTTCTCGCAAGTCTGCGATGTGGTCCAGGCGCCTCTTGCTTTTCACAATTAAATCATCCACATAAGCTTCCACATTCCTTCCTATTTGCCTGCGGAAAATTTGGTTTACCATGCGCTGGTACGTGGCGCCAGCGTTCTTCAACCCAAATGCCATAACTCGATAACAGAAGTTTCCAAAGGGTGTCATGAAAGCCGTCTTCGCCACATCCTCTTCCGCCATGGGGATCTGATGGTAACCCGAGAACATGTCGAGGAAGCTAAGCGCCTCATGGTAGGCTGTGGCATCCACAAGTAAGTCAATTCGCGGCATGGGATACGCATCGGTGGGGCATGCCCGGTTCAGGTTGGTGAAGTCCACACACATCCTCCAATCTCCCGATGGTTTTGGAACAAACACCACGTTGGAGAGCCACGTGATGTATCTTGCTTCCTCCACGAATCCCGCCTCGAGTAATCTATCAACCTCTCGCCGAAGTGCCTCCTCTTTTTCTTGGGACAGGTTCCTGCGCTTCTGTTGGACGGGTTTCTTTCCTCTTTCCACGGCGAGCCTGTGAACCGCCACGTCGGGTGACACACCAGGCATGTCCTGGGCGCCCCAAGCAAACAACTCTCCGAACTCCTTCAGCAATTCAATCAGTGGCGCCCTCATTGCTTCCGGTGCCTGCGCCGATATCCGTACCATCTTCTCCGGGTGTCCTTCATCCAAGACCACCGTCAGCTCTTCATCCCAAGCCTCCGCTCTGGGCGCCTCCTCGGGGCGAATGTCGACACTATTGATCCTGTGCTTACGAGATCGACCTCTCGGGTCCTCCTCTCGGGCATATCGCGGAACACTTCTCCCCCTGGAGATGCCTATGCCTTGTGGTGCCACAAATTTGAACATCTGGTGACAAGTGGACGCTACCCCATTAAATTGTGCCAAGAGCGGCCGACCAAGTATCACATTGTATGGTGACGGGCAATCCACAATCCCGAATTCCACCGCATGGGTCACGCTGTGCGCCTCATCCCCCAGGGTCACGGGTAGGCGCACGCGCCCAATGACTTGGGCGGGCGCCCCTGAGAACCCGACCAACACAGAACTCGAAGGACGCACCAGCTCTGGCGCGAGTTGCATACGCTCGAACGTGCTTTTGAAGAGCACGTCCATTGAACTACCGGTGTCTACCAACATCCTTTTCACTTTACATCCTGCTATCACCCCTTGTATCTCCAGAGCTTCTTCTGATGGGACTTGGCATGCTTCGTCGGGCTCGTGATTGAAGTGAATGTGCACGGCCGCCCTTGCTTCCAACGAGGCGGCCCTCAGACGTCTTGACCTCTCTAACTTCTCCCTCAAGTCGAGGGTACCGGTTATGGATTCGACCGTGAGCCTGACGCGACTAGGCTCGCCCACTTGATCCACTTCGAACGGGGGCGGGGGTATCTCGGGCTCTTGCTGGGTCCTCTGTGTTCCCATTACCTTTTAGTCTGTCGGGCCTTCGGGCGCCCTTGGTGCCACCTGGCCTTCAGGCGCCTGTTGAGTTCTCGATTGAATGGGCGCCGTTCGAGTTACATACGTGCGGTGGGTCCTGTCCTCCGCCCTCCTCACGAAATCGTTAAGCATGCCCTTGTCGGCCAAGGTCTGAAGTTCAGCCTTAAGTTGGTAACAATCAGCCGTATAGTGTCCCTTGTCACGGTGGAAGTCGCAATATCGGTCGAGGTTTTTCTCGTTAGGTTGACCTCGCATGGGCCCCGGCCACCGTATATGATAGCCTCTATCCTTCACGTACTGCAGCACATTTTTAAGCGAGTCATTGTACTCCGTAAAATTTGCAGCGCTCCTAGGCACAGGGCGCGGCGCCTCTGGCCTCCTGGGAAGACCAAAGCCACCGGGCATGGCTCGGTGCGCCTGCCTGTTTTCCATTTCGTCGCCTCTCAGGCGCCTTTTTTCGGCCCTTCGCGCCGCTAACGTTTCTTCCAACATGATCACTTTCTGCACTCTCCTGTCCAAGTCTTCCGTGGAGACCACGTCTCGCTTCGATAAGACCCGGCAGAGCTCTTCGCTCGAGGTGCATGCGTCCAAGCAGACTCCCAACACCGCAGGCTGCACGTCTTTTACGGCCATGGCCACCAAGATCCAACGGTCATAAAATTCTCGGAGCGCCTCCCCTTCTCTCTGCTTTACTTTGAACAGGGCTCCTATGGTTAACGTACGCCGCTTCCTACTCGCAAATTTGGACAGGAACAACTCCGCAAATTGTTCGAAACACTCTATGCGCCCTTCTTCAATTTGGTGGTACCAATCCAACACAACGCCTGCAAACGTGGAGGGGAATACCTTGCACAAGGTGGCGTCCGAGCTGTTGTATAGTTGCATCTTCGTGAAGTAGCTATTCAGATGATCTTCCGGGTCGGCGACCCCATCATAGCTGGGTAACGGTGGGATGGTGGTGCCCGCCGGTTCCATAAGGATGTTTCTCGCCAGGGGTTGCCGTACGCCAAATCGTTTGGCCACCCTCCTAGGCGCCCAGGCGTCCTCTTGGCTCGCTGGCGTGTGTTCGGCGGGTAGTCGCCAGGCGCGTGGGCGCCCGGGCGTGTCATGCCCTGGATCGGCACGGTACGGGAGCCCATACTGCCGTGAGTCCGAATCTTCCCCTATTCTTTCTCGCTTTCGCGCCCCTGGGCTATATACCATCGCCTCCTCACTTCGATCTCCTTCTAACTCCCTCCTGAGCGCTGCTATGGCTCGGTCTTGGTCAGCTATGATCCGGAAGAGCTCTCCCTTCGTCATGGACTCTCCATCATCAGTCGATAGGCGCTCCGGACTCCCTTGTCCATCAACATCCATGCTCAACTCCTGACTCAGCTGGCGCTCCCCCTCCTCCTGACTTGAGCTTCCCGATTTCGAGTTGCCTCCCCCTTCGACGCCTTCATTCATGTCTTCCATGGTCGTGCGCCCCCTACCTGGCGCGCCAATTGTTTGTGCCACAACGCTCGGGTTCCACTCGATTGTGATTTCACCTGCCAACTACCCTTGGGCGCCCAAGTCCTGCACCCACAAGCGCCTAATGGGCTATCGATGCCGTTAGCACTCCGATGCCTAAGTCAGTAACCAATCTAGAGAGATAAGTAAAGAGTGATGTTTTTAGTGAGAGAAGCCAACCTGCGTAAATGCCACCTACCGAGTACTATTTATACTCGTCGAGGTTCAGACCGAGCTCCTAGAATCGAGCTCCACGTCAGCTCAACATTAAATGCTCGGTACGGACCAACGGTCGGGCGTCTACACGTGGCGGCTCCTGCTTAGGCGCCCGGAAGGACCACACTGCCAGGTGGCACGTTCTCCGTCTCTTGTTCTTCCCGGCTGCCTGGTCCCCGGCCTACTTTTGTCCCCATGCGCCAGGTCCTCTACCGTTGGGCCTGCCCCCTGCCCTTGGCCTTTTTCCCAAGCCCCGACGTGGGCTTGGGCTTACGCAACATATCTCCGGTCTATGTCCCCCATGATCCGTCCATCCTCAAGCCTTGATTCCCCACCCGGGCTTGCTCCTCTGCCCTCATGCCATGCGTTTGGGTCCGGGCGCCCCATAGCCCAATCAAACGTGGTCCGTCCGCCTCTGGGCCTTGACTTCTCACCCGGGCCCGTTCCTTTGCCCTCATATCGTGCGTTTGGGCCCGGGCGCCCATAGCCCAACAATAGGCAAAAAGATGAATGCTTCATCTTAGGGTTTATAGTTTATGATTTAGATAATTAGGACCTAGGGTTCACTCATTAAGGGTTAGGGTATAGTATCAAGCCCAAAAATTCTGCTAATTCGAGGTCTAGATAGTGTTTTCATACTCAAGGTATACGGTACCCTGGATTTCACCCGGGGTACCATAGAAGCCACCATATATATGGGTCAGCCTGGCATATATCAGGTGTATACTATACGTCAGGTACTACTAGTGACAAATATTTATCTAGACCATGAATTAAATCGAGTTTGGGGTATGATACTATATCATAACCTGTAATGGATAAACCCCAAGCACCGATTTTCTAAACCCCACCCCGAAATTTAATTTAATGAAAAACAAAAATTGACCGTTGAGATCGGCCGGAGTTCATCTAAGTACATCTAACGGAGCTCATCTAAGTACACCAATTATTACCATTTATATAAACAAATGTGTGCAAATGAAGGCAACAAAGCCGCCATAGAGGAGCTAGCTGGCAGCAGCGTGAATTGTTTGATGTCAACTCTAATTAGTTAAGCCCTAGCTCTCTATAAATACCGATCGATCCCTCGAGTGTCTTCACATATTCTCCACACAGCTAAACCTCCACTTGCTTCCTACTTGACTTGCAAAACCAGCTAGCTAGCTATAGCTACCAAACGCGTTTCTGTTGTTTGTAATATGGCTGGTGCGTCAGGTTTGCGATCCATGAAATCGGCATTGATGATGATATTGGCGTGTCTCCTTGCGGCAGCGGGAACAAGCAGCGTGGCTGCCTTGTTCAGCATAAACTTGAGCTTGACTTTGGATTTCTACGCCTCGACGTGCCCGGGCGCCGCTGCCAAGATTAAAGAGATGGTGGACGCGGCAGTGCAGACCGAGACTCGCATGGGCGCATCTCTCCTCCGCCTTCACTTCCACGACTGTTTCGTCAACAACGCAAGTCTCCCATCCCCATCCCCTAATTAACATCTATCTATCTGTCTGTCTGAATGGTGGATGAGTTTTTTTTTTGCATTTAATGCAGGGGTGTGATGCGTCCGTGTTGTTGGATGACGTGCTTCCGAGTTTCGTGGGAGAAAAGACGGCGCCTCCCAACGACAACTCGTTGAGGGGGTTTGAAGTGATCAACAACATCAAAACCGAAGTAGAGAAACTGTGCCCTGGAAAGGTCTCCTGTGCGGATATCTTGACGGTGGCTGCCCGAGACGCCGTTGTCGCTGTAAGCAGTAGTAAATAAGTGGCTAATTAATCTTAATTTATTAATTTCCAGCAAAGCAATATTCTCTTTAATCTTTGGCGGGCTGTATTGTTACAGCTGGGAGGGCCGAGTTGGCAAGTTCCGTTGGGAAGGAAAGACTCCACCACCGCGAACTTCACAGACGCCCTCGTAAGCCTGCCCTCGCCATTTCTAGACTTGAGCGACCTTGCTGATGCCTTCGCAAGTAAAGGCTTCTCCACTCAAGAAATGATCACCCTCTCAGGTACGGTTTGATTCAATTCAATACCCTCCTTCAACCTTATCATATATCTCTAGCTATATTGTTAGAGAGTGGTATAAGATCCAGCAAAACCTTCTCCCAACAACTCGAGTTATTGGGAGCAACTGGTTCTTGACATGGTATCAGAGCTGGTTTGTCCTTGAGGTCACGTGTTCAAGTCCTCACGACCCCCAATATTAACCGTTGTCTTTAAGCACATGGTATGGCGGGCCTGTGCAAACTTCAAGCCCATAGGTTGGCTTTCGTTTGAGGGGGCGTGTTAGAGAGTGGTATAAGATCCAGCAAAACCTTCTCCCAACAACTCGAGTTATTGGGAGCAACTGGTTCTTGACATATATAGTTAGTCACGTTCGTATGATACTATCCATTTCATCAACCAATCCCAATCGATTGATTAAGAAATTGGAAATCACAAATGGAGATTTCTTCTGGCCAACACTTACATATATATAATCATTACTTTTCCTAGACCTGACAAAATGCAATGGGTGGGTAGACGTATTGGGTAATTAGATCCAACTATCAAGACTCGTATGGATATTGGGTTGGATACAAATGTACTCATATGTACTCTTAATAATTCTTAGTTTTGGTATGGGTTCGATGATGAGTCCAATTTGAGTCAACTCATTTGGATCGAACCCAAATGGGTCTATTTGGGTCTATGTAATTATACATACGAAAAGCAATATTGACCATCTAACTTGTCTTATTCACACCTTCAATGTTTGTGTTTTCACATTTATGCTTGTTTTAGAATAAAGAAAAATACAAAATCACATTAGGGTTGAGTATTCATTTTCTTTTGGCACGAGTAGCCAGCAACGACGGATCCCGAACAGGTTAGAGCATTGTGCCGCATTTAAAAAGCGGTGGAGAGGGTTGGGCCGTAACCCTATAAACATTGAAATATATACCCAAAATCAGAAATTTACAAGTATCATACGAGTTTTGGATCTGGGGAGGGCTGGGCCGTGGCCCGGAGGCGGCCCCCTAGATCCGCCGCTGGTAGCCAGCGTAACAGGTCTAAACAATACCATAGTGTAATGAGTTGGGTATAAATATGACCAACAAGTGATATTACCCAAACTTGATTGATTTGATGAAAAATGAATTGAGTTTAGTGAATACCCAAATTGTCGGTCCAATTAGCCATACCATGTGATCGATCGGACACTAATAGCTAGATATATATATATATATATATATATATATTTGTTGCATGCAGGAGCTCATACGGTGGGGAAAGCTCGATGCGGCCTATTCCGGCAGCGTGCTCACAGCGAAGGCAACATCGACCCGGCCTACGCGGCTTTCCTGCAGTCCATCTGCCCCGGAACCGACGGAGTCGGAGACGACAATCTGGCGCCGCTCGACAACTCCACCACCACCGACACCTTCGACAGAGGCTACTATCTGAGCCTGGTGGGAAAGAAAGGGCTGTTGCACTCCGACCAGGCTCTGCTTCCTAATGGAGGCTCCTCCAGCACCCAGATTAACACCTACAATAGCTTTTTGCTTGGTTCCGTTTCTTTCTTCACCGACTTCTCCAACGCCATGGTCAAGATGGGAAAACTCACTGGCCCGGCTGGCAACGTTGGTCAGATCAGGACTGACTGCAGCAGAGTCAACTAATGGCGAAAACCACCATATTGCTATTATTGTTTTCATGCCATGCCCGTGCGTGTGTAGCATTGAATTAAATGAAAAAATGTAAAATAATTTGTGTCGTCATTGTTTACTTTTGATCCCAATATCAATATGTATGATTCACTCGCCCAAGGGGTTTCCTTAATTATGATTTTGGTAAAATATGCTCAAAATTAAATTAATTCTAGATTTATCTACAAAAATCGATACATAGATACAATTGAAAAAACCAGTCGAAGGAAGCAAGTGATTGGAGATATCCGACAACTAATGTGTTCGACAAATTAATGAGTGTAATTAGTGAAAACAAAAACTACAACCACAAAACTAAGGCGGTTCACCTGCCAAATCACAAAAATTCACCGTGGTATCAGAGCTATATCAAAATTTCAACTTCATATCATAGCCATAATGATAATTTATACAAATTATCGAAAAAGACTATGAGCCTCCCAAAGATGAAGAGCGTCTCACCGAGGCTCAACTAAAAGAGCGCGAGGAAGATGCAGAAAAAAAATGAAGGTCATCACCTTCATATACTCAATAGTCTCGATTCTAAAAGAAGAATGCCAAGGTATAAATAAAGATAGAATCATCAAGCTCCAGACGCTAAGAAGAAGTTTTGAAAATTTTGGAGAAAGAGACGGTGAAGGACTACTCTTTCAGAGTAGTAGAAATTGTCAACCATATGAAGCTCTACGGTGAATTTTCTGTCAAAACTCAAGAAGATCAAGTAACAAATATCTACCTCGTGGAGTTTGGTGAAGACCCAGCCATCTAGAATTGTTTGATAAAAAATAAAATACATTGCAACATTTGCAATAAAATCGGGCACATCGAGAAAGTGTGTAGTTTCAAACAATAAGGAACATATCCACCTCGCCAACAACAAGTCAACATAGTTGAAGAATCACCAGAAATAATAAATCTTTTTCAGCTTGCCACGTCACAGAATCCAAAGGATCATATTGGGTCGTTGATAGCGGGTGTACAAATCATATGACCAACCAGAGAAGATTTTTTAAGAAATTGACTCCAATTACAAGACAATAGTGACACTTGAAAATAGAGTCATTTTACGAGCCGAGGGTAAATGCACCATAGTGATGCAGACCTCATAGGGCAAAATATTCATCAAAGATGTTTTGTTCGTACCATAGTAAAATAAATCTACTAAGTGTTGGCTAGATGTTGGAGAATGGTATTCTCTATACTTCAAAGATAGCTGGTGCAGAATTTATGATCCAAAAGAAAAAGGAGAAGTAATCACATTTGTTCCGATGGTGATGAGGTTTTTCTTATATAACTAGGAACAAAATTTTAAAGCTCTACAAACACAAGTAGACGAGTTCGAGTTGTGACATACAAGATTCGGTCACTACAACATGGAAGCACTCAAGTACCTCAAGAAGAAAAATCTCATCAGAATGTTACCAAAATTACATACATGAATAGGAGTATGCGAGGCATGCCCGATGGGAAAGCAACATCGAGAATCATTCCCAACAACGAGCACTTGGAGGGCGAAAGAAATATTGGAGTTAATTCACACAAATGTATGCGGGCCAACGTAGAATCCAACCAAAGGAAAAAAGGACAGAGACCTAGTGTGAGAAACTTATTCTTCTTCAGATTTCTAGAGTGAGAAAGTGACGAACCTAAGAAGAGGAGAAGCTAGGGTTTCATCTTCAATCAAGGAATTGAGAATTCCTCCCCCAAAGGAGGATTTCTTCAACACAAGGTACAAGGCTAGCATCTCTTTAATGGTTTCCCTTCTTCTCTCTTGTGTTTTTGCTTCTTCTAGAATGGAGTAGTCCCTTCTTTCACTTGGGTGTTTGTAAACCCTAGCTACAATTATGGGAATGCTTGTATGGATTGAATGATTTGTGTGTGGTTGTGTTTAATGTGAATGTGGAGGTATTATTCATGAATGATTGTGTTGTGTGAAAGCCTATCAATCTAATTGCCATTCTAACCTAGGTAGAGAGAAAACCCCCCTTCCTTTTTATGAAAGAGGCTTGAATGTTGGGTTTTCTTACGCAATTGATTTCTTCTATTTAGGTTAATGAAGGGCAAACCTCCTATTTCGTATTAGCACCTAGGGTTTGGTTGTGGGTGGTCGTCCGAACTCCCATTCGAGGGTGAAGTCCAGGACTGTTAATGAGCCGACCCGAGCCGAGTCGGGTTTTGTCTTGTTCATGTTCGGCTCGTTTATAAACGAGTCGAGCTCGAGTCCGACTCGTTTATTAACGACTCGAGTCGATTCGAACACGAGCCAACTCATTTATTAAATCTTGACACATCGTTAAGATCGAAAGTTCGGCTCGAGCTCAACTTTAAGATAATTTATAATATAAATACCCTAATATTTATATGTCATAAGTGATACATGTGATTACCTAATGTTATGTCATATATGAGACGTATTTGTTTACATATACTCAATGTATTAAACATCATATTAGGTGATATATACAATTTAATAATTATATGCATCATTGACAAACCAACTCATAAAATATAGATTGATTTTCTCATAAGCTGTAATCGAGTTGGCTCTCTAGTCACAATGTTGGGACATCTCATAAGCTCAAAACTAGACAGTTCATGAGTTGTATTAAACGAGCCACCTAATCGAGCTAGTTCACGAGCTTCACGAGTCGAACAAGGTAGAGTTCAAGCTCGGCTCGTTTATTAACGAGGCGAGCTTTTTTTTAATCAAACGAGCCGAGCTTTTTTTTTAATCGAACGAGCTTTTATTGAGTTCGAGACCGATCCCCTCACGAATAGCTCGACTCATTAACAACCCTAGTGAAGTCTAACCAATCCTTAGTCGATAGGCCGAGAGAGTCACGTTGGTAGCTTGGATAGTATCCCCTTTCCTCGACCTAGAGACTAAGAGAGTGGCGCTTGGCTACTTGTTACACTTCCCTACGGTTTATAACTCCCTCACCACACACGCCCATTCGATCCGACAAGTCGCAATTGCTAGTTAGGGGGAGCAACACCCGGGTGAAGCCTTCTCAATTAGTGTCAAATCCATTATCTTTGCAAGTTCTTTAGCTTTAGATTGCTGTGTTCACCAAAAACCAACCGTTAGATAATGTTACAAACAATCGAAGTAGGGGTACATGAACCGACCCGGGGTCGATATTTAAACATACTTGCCCTGTAATACACCCGGTTAAGGTTTATACTTGGGCCTTAATCGGGAGTTTTAAAGTGGTGCATTCGAGTTGAGTCATTAAGTTTAAGGACTTGAGGCCAAAAAACTACATTTTCAGTTGCACTCATAAGTCGATTCTGAATACATACCCAATAGGCTACTAAAGCTCTTTGGGATTTAATGGAGATTCAACGAATACCACAACTATAATCCTTGAGACGAGGCTTTAAAGTTTTACTGATGAAACAAATTGTTAGTCAATGATTACTTTGGTAGGGTTTTGGTTTGACGGATTCTCAATGTGTAATGTGAATATCGTGGAATAAATTATTTCTAAAATAATAATAATAATATAAAATCAATTTATGGCCTGCTTCATAGAGGAGCTAATGATATAGAAATCATATAAGATGCACTGCACTACAAAGCTCTTTGCTAGTGCTTAAACAAAAGTTTGGCATATGTCAGATTGATGATGACCAAGCTCCACAAGTCTAATATGGTTTGGAAGTTTAGGGTATGGCCAAGGCTGATGTAAGGGACTTGGTTGAATGTTATAAGTGTCATAAACTAGGAAATTTCATAAATGAATGTCCCGAATGATAAAGATAAGTCCACTACACTCATTCCTCTAAAGGTTCTAAAATCAAAACACAATAAGACATGACTGAAGAGATGATGTTAATGGGTTGTGTTGATGAGATAAACGAGTCATATGCCCATATGATATTTTTTGGATGATACTAAAAATGTGGGTTGGTCATTTTTGGATTTAGGGTGTAGCAATCATATGAGTGGTAGCAAGGAGTTCATGGTTTAATAAAATTGAAACTAGCTTCCCATACACTGTCAAGCTAGGGAATGGAGCTAGGTTTGAATTTGTGGTAAGAGGTAGCATCAACCTAAAAAAAATCAGTTGTCACCAATGGTAACATTTTTTTTTATGTTATGGGATTAAGAACCAACTTGGTGAGAATTCGTTAGTTACAAGAGACAATCCAACATTTCTCATCAAAAGTGGGTTTTGCATGGTTTTGATTTGCATGATGCAAAGGCATTGGTGAAGCAAAGATGAAGTTCAAGCACATTATTGTTCTTCACGATAACTTGAAAGAATTCGAGGTAGCAGCTGATGTCATAAACCAGTTGGTCCCACTAACTCTGAGTTGTTGGGAGAATGTTATGTTTGATCTTATACAGGCCCATGTATGGTACTTAACCACTTCCTTACATGCCCCCTCAAACGAAAGCCGACTCATGGGCTTGAAGTTTGCACATGCTCGCCATACCATGTGCTTGAAAGACAACGGTTAATATTGGGGGTTGTGAGGACTTGAACACGTGAACTCAAGGACAAACCAGCTCTGATACCATATTGGTAGTGACGCGAAAGAGAAAAACGAAGGATCAAGACACAGGATTTTACGTGGTATCCTTGCTCTTGAATGAGCGAGACTAATCCACGGTGAGCTGATGCTCACGGCTGAGAGTTCTTTCTTTTTTTTTCTTCTTATGTGAGTACAATGAGGAAGATGTAAAAGATGAGTCCGACTACAGTTAACAAGGCCTTAAATAGAAGGGGAAAAGCAAACCCTACTTCCTTCATCTCCTACGTAGGAAGCAAGGAAACAAAGGAAATAAATAAGACCGAGAGATTCCCAATACTCCCCCTCAAGCAGAGGCATGGAGGTCGAAAATGATCCAACCCAAGGCCCTTGGTGAAGAGATCGGCGGGCTGTTCTGTAGTGGAAATTTTGCGAGGAGCAACATCATTGGACTGCACGCGTTCACGAACAAAATGGCAATCCATCTCAACGTGCTTGGTGAGAAGTCGTCTGGTTTTCACAATACAATGGAGTAGGACCACGTTAAGGTGCGCATAGTTCGATGAGAAGCCATCAAAGCCACAGAATTTCGCTGACAGTGGCAGCCATGGTCTGGTATTCAGCTTCAGCAGAGGAACGTGCAACAACGGTCTACTTCTTGGTGCGCCAAGAAATAGGAGAAGCACCCAACCGAATGAAATAGTCGGTGGTCGAACGACGGGTGGTGGGACAACCAACCCAATCTACATCACAGTAACCAGTAAAAGAAAGTGAACTGTGAGCAGGAAAAAACAAACCACGACCTGGAGACTCCTTGAGATACCGAAGGACATGATGGGTTGCATCCCAGTGTGCCTGTGTAGGAGCATGCACAGCCTGACTGAGTATATTGAATGTGTAAGTGGTGTCGAGGCGGGTGATAGTGAGATATAAGAGCCGCCTGACGAGACGATGAAAAGATGAGGAATCAGGAGCTAGAGGTGATTCAAGACAACCAAGCTAATGGTTATGCTCGATGGGAGAACGGCAAGGCCGAGCAGCTTGAAGACTAGAATCGGTAAGTATATCGAGAGTATACTTCCGTTGGTTGAGGATGATGCCTTTGGGAGAATGGGCAACTTCAATACCCAAAAAATACTTGAGAGGCCCTAAGTCCTTGATGGTGAACCGATCATGTAGGAAACTCTTGACTTTCTGAATAAAGGTGGGATCATCACCTGTGAGTAGGACATCATCTACGTAGATGAGAGCTGCAACGAAGGAAGAAGAGGTGCGCTGGACAAAAAGAGAGGGATCTGCAGCTTGTTATATGCCAGCAAAACAGTGTGTTCTTCACGTTACAAAACAGAGACAAGGAAATGTAAAACAGAAATTTAAATTACAATAATAGTAAAACTCCAGGTGGCGATCTCTCATTCGTCCGGTAACTATCCATCAACAATAAACTCCAAGTCTCCGCAGCGGCGTCGCTTTGGCTCTTCGTTTAAGCTGAGTGGAGTTTTTCTTCACTCCTAACAACTCTGCAATCTTCATTTCACTTGTGCAGGTTGTCATCTTCATCATCTTCGGTTGATAGCGGTCGCCCGATTCACCACACCCATCACCCAGCCGCCATTGCCACTGATATCGCCACAGGGTGCCATAGTTGGAAATGGTGGACCAAATGGAAGTGATGGTATGATAGATTTTGATTGGGAAGATGACAGAAGAAGAAGGAATCGAGGATTTGGATTATGATTTTCTTCTTCTTGTTTGTTTTGCTTTTTTTTCCCCCCATTAATTGAGGGGACGGTTTAGGGGCTTGGAGTTTGAGTTGGGTCACGATTGAGAAGGGTGGGTTGGGGAAATGATGTGGCAGGTCAGGTTTAGCGATATGACCAGTTGAAATTGGGTGAGTCAGCAGTTCTAGTAGCCACGTCAGCAAATGACGGATGGTGTTAACGGAGAGGGATTAAACTTGGATTGTTTAACTAATTTTAATGATTACGAATGAATAAAAAAAAGTGACCAAACATGTAACTTGTTAGCAGTCTCAGTAACCAAACTTGCAATTTACCCAAGAAGAAGGATTTGGGGTTGGAAATTTTTGTTGTTTTTAATTTTTAATATTTATTTTAGTTTTTAATTTAAATGTAATAATTTGACAATAGTGAATATATGAAATTTATGAGTTTTATATATTTACGACAAAGCGATGATGTGGCATATTGACTAAACATAACGGTTTCCCAAATAAATCATTTTTGGTGATAGTTAAGATCTTGATATTAATTAGAGAAAAAATTGGTCAGATATTAAAAAAGGGTAAACTTATTTTAAAAACTAGATCACGATATTAGTTAGTGAAAAAAATTGATCAGAACGTTAAAAAAAGGTAAACTTATTTCGAAAACTAGCACCTGTATACCATTGGACATGCAATGCAACGATAACTCAAATACAGCTTAAGCCTATTTCACCCTAAAAAGAAGCTTAAACCTATAAAAAAAACTGCTGAATTAAGTAAAGCATTATGTTGTAAGAAATTGGTTACTAAGTAGACATCATCATGGGAAAAAGTAACCTGGTTTCCTGACAGTCGCATGCAAGATGAGATATATTAAGGGTAAGTGAGTATGTATGATCAAAAAAGGAGACGTGCAAAGGGCAGCAGTAAGGAACAAGGGGAAGATACAAGAAGGGCAGCCATCCATCCATCCATCTCTATATTCTAAAAGACTTTCTCATTCAAAAGAGGAAGGCAACCACATTTCTTTGGCCTCCTCTGAATAAAGATTTCGAAGTCTTGGTTTTTTTTCCATACTGTCCTGTCAGTCTCCTCTGTTCTCTTTCACTTTTTTCAATTTTTTTTTTTTTGTTCAAGGGAGAGCCCTTTTCTTCCTCCAGATTACCAAAGAGACTGTACATCAGGGTTGGGGTTGGGAAATAAGCCCCCAATCGTGGCTCTCGTTGTCAGCGAGGGCTTCACAACACCTTCTCCTGTTCGTTTCACTGCCCATTCCTTCCTGAAAAACCACCAACCCAATTCCACGTTGATCAGCTGCTTTATAACCAAAACCCTCACACAAGATCAACTCAAATACAACATGGCCCACATAAATCTAGGATTCAACCCAACCGACATTTATGGAATTGAAGAATTGCTTTAGTACTCTCAATTCAGAAGGCCTTACTTATATTAGGTTCCAGTTCCATGATAAGTCTACAAAAATCTTTTAACTTCCATTTTCCAAAATCTTCTAAATAGGTTCAGATTCAACTAGGACCACCCGCCAAACAGGCTTATAGTACATCATTTGGTGACGATTCTACATTAACAAAGACTTGCAGGAAGTTCCATTCTAGCAAGAAAAAGCTTCTGGGCAACACGTCAAGCGTGGAATCTGAAACTCTGAACTACCGAGGTAACAATCCGGCAGGGCTACTGGGCAGTACAAGTACCAACACATCTGACAACGATGATGTAAGCACAACCAATAACATATGACATTACACGACTGTTTAGCTCATTGACTTTGAATGTGACTTGAGATTTCAGAATCTCTAAAATTTGTCAAACCAAACTAAACTACTTAAATGATCTCTTGCCACCCACCAAAGTTTTGTTCTAGCCTGAACCAAGTATGTTCGTTGTTCCACAATATACCTTCTATGAAAATGAGCAAGAGCTACTTTGCAATGACCAACCCAGATCCTCAAGTCACCCTCTTAAAAAAATTCCACCAATAACAGGAAACACTCAATTCTTCTATCTAGTAAACAGATGAAAAAGATATTGTAAAAGGAAATGCAGTTAAGCATAGCATTATCAAGATGGTACACTCACTTGGACCAACAATCTTGTGGAGGCATCTCAAATGGAAGGTTGGAAGCAGCTCCATTAAACATGCCTAGTTCATCTTGACAACTCTGCTCCCCAGCTTTGACAGAGAAATGACCTTCATTGCCCGACAGTGGGGGAAAAAAAGCCTTGTGCAGCCATGGCTCATTGTCACCCGAACTAGCAACAGGACTGAAAACCCCACCATGACCATTTCGAAGATAACGCTTCTGAGGAGAAAGAGAGCTTAAAAGGGCATGGTCATCTGTTGAAAACAGTGATGCTGCCATTGTGCTCTGAGATGAAGGATGCAAAATATCTTCGTTAGTCAGGATACTCCGCTCTGGTGGTAGAAGCCAGCTACCAGGGCCCCCAACCAAACCAAGGCCATCCTGACCAAGAGGATTTACACTGTTCCACATTTGCCATGTCCCTTTCTCGTTATTTACTTGCACATCATCCAAGGAATTATTAGCATGCAAATCCTGAGCCTTAGGAGTAGTGGGGAACCAGTTTGCGTTGTTATGCTTTTCATCAGCCATTCGACGTGACAATGGAGATTCAATTGGAGATGGCTTGCTCAGTTCAGGTGATCCAGCTGGCTTCTTCATGGTTCTTGGTCTATCTAATCCTAGATCTGATGCAAAACTAGTTCCCATGTCCAACTGGAAATTATCAAGAGACTCTGAGACAGGCCCAAGCAATGATATTGGATCAGGAACATAACACGGGTCTTCAAAACGCTCCGGCTCTTCAGGTAAGAAGTCGCACACTCCTTCAGCAATGTGAGGCACACAAGACTCAATGGCAGGTGAGAAACCTAAACTAGCACTAGTTGAGACATTAGAATACATGGGGATCGAAAATGGTGATGGGAGTCCAAAATTGATAGGATTGTCGAACGATTGTACTGTCGATGGTTGCCCGGGAAACTGTGGGTTCTGCAACTCTGCCTGGGGTTTAGAATTTGGTCTGCTTATAACATTAGTACTTGAGGATGAAGAAGCTGCTGCTGCTGATGATGATGATGATGAGCGGGTAAATAATTGCTGCCACGACTTCTTAGGAGCTGTTCTAGGTTGTTCAGATGGTACCTATCATATTAACAAATCTCAGCATTGTAATACTGATAATGATCTATTACCAAATCTCAACATCAGGGCAAGCTCATAACATGTTCTACAAAGACCTAGACGATAGTACTAACACCTTCCACTATAAAAATCGATATGTAAACAAAAATAGACATAAAAATGTGAGGAAAAAGTAGCCCAATTAGGTCAAAATCTAGTGAAGCATGCCACATGAAACTAAAATCAAGAAAACCTAAAAGATATGCTTCCCGTGCCTAGCGTAGCAAACCAGTCAAAATTATGAAACAGGAGCAACATCAGTAAGTGAACATGACAACTTACAGGTCGGTTAGTATTCCTGTCATCATAGTTGATACTTGACTTCCCAACCACACCAGGTGGGCATGTTTCTCTCCTATGAGCAGAAATGTGCAACTGATCTGCAGAACTGTTGAACTTCATTTCTTTAGTAGCACCAGCAGGACTGTTAGCATTCCGTCCAAAGAAACTGCCTCCACCAAAAGCTCTAGAAGAAGATAAAAAGGTCCCCCTAACCCTGTCAAAGTACCTTGTTCCGGTATTTCCACGGTTAAAATTTGTCGAAGAGGCATTTCTCGACCCATTTCCATACCCTAATTCACTGTTGTAACCCTTGCCATTTTCTGTACTGAACTTTTGCGACTCCCTTCTCTCCACATCACTCTTCTTATCAAAATCCCTTTTCCTTTCACTTTCTTTACCAGCTCTTTTTTCCAGCTCTTCGACATCAGAGTTGCTCTTACTGGATCCCTTATCTTTATCTCTTCTTCTTTCCTGACGCCTCTTTTCTGCTTCCTTTTTACTATCTTTTTCCCTGGCTGGTGGTGACAACTTGATCCGGTCTTTCTCAGCCTCCATTTTCTCATCCCTTAACCTTCGGCGTTCCTCAACCAACCTTGCAACCTCCTCCCGCTGCTTTCTTTCTTCCTCCTCCAGTAGCTCCCTCTCTAACCTAGCCTGTCTCTTCTCCTCAGCTTTCCTGCGTGCTTTCTCTCCCCTACTTTCGGGATAGTTAGCCCCATTCTCCCCTCTCTTAGACATGCCTCCCCTATGCTCTGCGTCAGAAGAGGCATCATCCTTTGATGAACTAATCCTAAAAATCTTTCTCCAGAGCCACCTAATGCTCAAGAAGAACGAAGTCAGTAGTTTGCATCCAAAAATTACAACACGCAAGTAAGACTTCTCCGCCGAACAGTTATCATCTGCTCCTAATATACCACCGCCAGTTTTCCTCCAGTAACTAGATCTCCCAGAAATAGAACCACCAGTCCAACCACCATTCTCTAACCAATCCTGACTGCACATCCACCCATTATCAGACCATGCCTTGCCATTCAGTATCTTCCCACCTTTGCCAACCAAGTCCTTAATAATCCCAGAATTTGGAATCCCTAATCCGGGCGGTACAGGCATTTCAAGCACTGGCCTCTTGGATATATGGCCACAGTACGAGCACATAAACTTTCCCCCGCCCGGATTCTGATCCCTGTAAGGAGTCAAGCAATTCCTACACCTTTTAGTAGCAGTTTTCCGGAGCTTCTGCAACTCAATAGCTTCGAACCTCTTCCTCTCTCTTAACCGTGCATTTCTTCTCAAACGCCAAGCTGATAGCTGAGGCATCAAAATCTCGTACCAGAAGAGAGTGACCAAAAGAACAAACACACAAGCAAGTCTGGGAGAGGTAATCTCAAAACGAAAAGCAGGGGGGAGGAGCTGAGAGAGAGCCCACAACCCTATAAGAGGGATAACTAACCAAGGAAGCATCGTGGCAACCCGGCGAGACCACTTCTGGATCACACAGAGTATACACATTATCCTCTTAACCCACGCCTATCTTCCCCGTATTGGAATCGAACCACGTATAAACCCTAGGAATCGTTAAGCAAATGTATCCCCTCGAGAAGAAGAACGCAATAAAGCGCCCGAATAGCAAACCCTTATCCGAGCTGCTCCTGAGAATCGGGATATTAAAGCAGACCACCGAAGGAAAGAGAAAGAGGGTTGTACCCAAGCTTCAAGAACCCTAGCGAACAGCAATCAGGGGAAATCCATCAAAAACCAAAGGGAAGGGAGAGCCCACCCGGCCTTAACGCGCGAATGGAATAGACGAATTGAAGATGCAGGAGATTACAAGCGGCTGAAGAAATGGATTAGATTCGAGGAGGAAGAAAGCAAGGAAGTAATGCGCGTGAAGAAACGAGAGAGAGAATAGAGGGGTCTTACAGATTGGGCATCCATGAACGATTAATGGGTAGAGGCCATCGGAGGAGATTGCATAGGAAGTAATCGGGGCGGTGAGTCGGGTCGAAGCTTGAAGAGGGGTTGGTCCGGTCGTGTTAACCTTTTTTTCTTGTTGGTTGTAGCTCGTTGCGTCGGTTCTCCTTACCAGCGAAAGAAACTGTGCGAATACGATAGGGAAAGGAAGGGGAAAGAGATTTTCATTATCATTATTTTAAAATTAATAATAAAAGTATATTAATTGATGAGCATGGAAAAGAAAAAAAAAATGAAGAAGGGTGGATACTAGTTAGAGAGAGGGACTAGATAGGTGCTAACACCCTATAATGTTAGCACAATACTAACGCTTTTAATAAGGGCATTGTAGTAATTTTAATATCAATCCTAATTCGGCAATTACATCTTCCTTCCACCATCCTGCCGTCATTGTCTTGTTTCTCTCTCTTCAATTCGGGCATAACCTGAAAAGGAATGGATTTGTACCTTATTTATGGACAAAGAATCATGTAAGCTTGTCATGAACAGATAGAGGACAAGACTACGAGCGTCTGTGATCAAATGGACGAGTGATTCGGAGTCTGGACGAGTGAGAAACGAATAATGAAAGACAGTGGACAGGTTCGGCGGAAGAAACACGGGCAGGAGAAACATGGCCGTATTTTTCCCTCATGTGCCCATGTTTTTTGTGTCGAGAACAACCAAGGGAAGGGCTAAAACACGGTCGCGTTTCTGCCCCCTGCTCGGATATAAGTATGTTTTCTGCGCTTTTTAAGAGGGGCAGCTGGGTTTTGGATCCCAAACACCCAAGGGACGAATCCTAGAGAGAGAGAGAGAGAGAGCGACTTGGGAACATTCTTGGAGCTATTTTAGAGGATTTCTTTGCCATTGGAGCTTGGGAATCAAGTTTGGAGATGGAGAGTAAAGATCTAGATCAGATTTCTGCATTATCTCTCTTCTATATGGAGTAACTTCCCTTCACTTAGGTTTTGAGAAACCCTAGTTCCATGTGTTAGGATCTTTCTTATATGAACTTTTGGATGCTATACTTATTGGTTTTAATAGATTGAGGCATGATTTGTTGAGTTGAATCCTGATCATATTCTCTTGATTTCTCCTTTAACCTATAGAGAATTTGATTAGGTTAAGAGAGCTTCCTTGATTGAGAGTAGTGAATTGATTGTGCGAGAGACAGTCAATTCATTGCTTTGTACTGGAATTCGTTCCAAGTAGTGGAGATTTGCGTGAATTACCTTAGTAGTTTATCCCAGTGAAGGCTAGTCGCCTGCCAGATAGTCTGTCTAAGAGGGCTTGGTCAGCTTAAGGGATTCTAAGCTATTTTCGAATCTTCCGCAGTTTAATCAACTGTAAATCAACCAAGAAAATTACAACTTGGACCTAATTGAGGAGATAGGGGGAATCATAGCTGAGTGAGTTCTCAACTTGTAATTAGATTAACTTTAACTATAGTTTGCTAGAGTAGCTATAATTCTTCTATCTTAATCTAGTTTGCTAGATAATGAACTGAAGCTGAGTAATAGTAACTCTAGAGACCCGTGGATTCGATATTTATTACTTGTGCCACTATACTGCAGTCTCTTTCATTGGTTACACTTGGCCATTGTTAGAAGTTGTGTTTTAGCAAGTCATTAATCCATGATGTTCCACATGGCATGGGGCAAAGAAAAGAATGACGAAGAAGAGAAGGAGAGATCTCAATGGTGGAGGTCTCAACTCACTAAAGTACATGAGTCGTCGTTAAATACCATTCCATATGCTCATGACTTTAGGCTCCATCTAAACGATAAGAACCTCAAATTCAAGGAGGTTCTAGGATGGACCGAAGTTTAAGGAGCAACCGTCTAGCTTATGACGTGAAAGTAGCGTTTTGTTGGGAGGCAACCCAATGCTGGTTTGCATTTCTATTCCCTATTTTTTCTCTTTTTGTGCGTGATTGAGTCAAGTGGGAGAGTTTTGAATGATCATCGTGCCAGGATTTATGTGTTTGAATGTTTGAATGCGTTTGGGTCATGGGCACGGCTGAATCGATTAGGAGTTGAAAATTGTCAAAAACATCTTGTTTTTATAATGTCACGGTTTTGGCGTATTTTGAACTTTTCCTTAGTCAATTTTGGATAATTTGATTTCAGGTTCGAAGGTGGGGAGATTCGGGAAATTTCTGCATGAATGTTGAAATTGGGAAGGGATTAGTAGAATTAGGTTGATTGAATGATGCATGAAGTGTTTATTAAATTAATTGAGCCTTAGTGGGCAAGATTTGGCATAATTTAGTGATTAAATTTGAAAATGCCGACCAAGTGCATTATGTGAATGAATGAATGACTTACTTCACTTTTGTGCATGTTGCTTGGTGGTCATCGGGGTATGATTTAGGTATGATATTGGTTGGAGGGCACTACCACTCCATCAGCTACGATACTCTAGCCCAGGTCCTAGGACTCCATATTTGTATCATGATAATGGCTGAGAGGGAGTATACCCGGGAGGTAAACCCTCAGCACGTGTATGAGGCGATTTTCCTCCCGGAGGACATAGACTGAGAGTATCAGGCGAGCCACACATGGGCTACCCAATTTCGGGCACAGTGGCAGATTCTGCACATGTTCCTCACCCGATCGCTAATCCCGAGTCTTCGGGCTCGAGGGCAGATGAACCTTAGAAGGATGGTGGCGCTTCACAGCATAAGTCGCCCATAGCATGGGTATGATCCTGGCGGAGAGAGGCATCCACTACATTGATGGCATACGACCAACGACCTTGTTTCACCCAGTGGTAGAGGAGGCATTGGAGCTAGAGCATGTTCAGAAAGCCCCCCCCCCCCCCCCCCCCCCCCCCCCCGCACCACCTCACCGTCATGTCTACCGAGGTTCTTCTTTACCATCTGTAGGAGTAGGACCTTCCTCATCCTCCGGTAACCTTGATGCATCAGTGACATGCCTGGAGCAAAAATTTCACGAGGTTTCTTCCCAGCTCATGAGAGAGCATGAATCCAGGAGACATTCCCATGTCTTGTTGGAGGCACTTGCTGAGGATTGAGGCATCAGAGTTCAAGACTAGTGGTAGGCTGCCCCACCTCGACGCCAGGGGTAGTCGCCTCGACTTGAGTGCCATGTTGGAATTGCATTACCATCATATTTTCTTTTCCACCTTTGACTCTAAACATGGTGTTGTTTCTTTTATGTCTAAAACTCGTACTTTTTTAGTTTGGTTTTTCGTTTTATTGCATTGTTAAATATTGTATTGTGAAATTACCTCGCATTGTGCGAGAATGTGTTGTGTTTTGTGTTTGTTCCCATGTGAAGCTTTCTTGCTTGTCGAAACTGACCCAATTCGGTCCCAACTTTCACTTACAAAGCTAAGCGGTAACATCATTCTACCTCCTTATTTTACGCCATTGACGGCAATGTCGAGTTTAAGTGTGTGGGGGGTAGTCTTTCATGCTTGTGTGTGAATGATTGGTGTGATTGAGTGGTTGGAGCCTAGTGCATGCCCAAATTTTCAAAATTTGAGGGCTTCAAGCATATCAACTTCTTCATTGAATGATCATAGTGACACCTTTGGTGATTTGTGTTGAATCTCATGGCTATTAGCGTTGATGTATGGAATACTTGTTTGTGATTGAGAACAACCTATAATGATGACTGAGACGCGCATTAGGATTGTGTAAATGTTCATTTCTCATGTGTTTGTGAACTAATGAATTTTTTGGATTGACTACTCATTGATTGCAATAGTCTATGCATCGAGTTTAGGCTGCTCGAATGAATGATTGAACATCTAGGTAGCCATGTGAGATTTGTATCGCTCGCCTTTTTCTAGTCGAAACCATATAAGCTTGTGTTGGTTTAAGGTTAAAGATTTTGAACCCCCATGCTATGTTTGCCACCACCCTCAAAGCCTTTTCTCTATGTCCGAGACCCTAGCTAGTCATCTGAACCCGTGTCTAAGACCTCCGGACAAGCTAGTGGTGACAACCGTCTTGTGAATTCTAGCATTTATAGGTTGTGTCTTGGTGAAGAGACGATAGGGCTGAGTGAATGAGTATGCACATCTGTTGCATCAAAATGGTCCTAACCACAATGGTCGAGAGTGAGTGATTCATTCTTCATGCTTAATGTATATCATGTATACTAGTAAGGATCTAGTTTGCTCAATCTTTTGTTTTGGTGACTTGATCTGATGCATGAATGATTGTGACTAGTGAGTCATTTGACTTGTTGTGTTTTGGTTTGTGAACAATGTGAGAACTCTTCCTTTCCACAGTTCTATTGCATTCAAATTTCATTTATGGTGGTGGTTGTTAGGAATGTTGTTGGTTTGCCCAAATGTTGATGTCCATTGTGATTCAGTTGTTTTGAACCCTATGATATTTCCCAAAGTGTGAAGAAAGAGCTGAGATCATGGTCTAGGGGAAATTGTCACGGTCCACAGTCCATGAAGATTTACCAGAAACCGTGAAGATTGTTGAGTAACAGGAGGTTTTGCATGCCTCACGGGCAGGACAATTCTCACAGTCACTAGACCATGACAATATCCTTCATAACGTGATATTGGACAAAAATGGCAGCAGACTCCTGCGTTTTCGGTTCAGATCACGGTTATGCATCCGATGTCACGACCATGACATCCAGATTGTGATGTTTGCCCTCCAGTAATATAAATAGCAGGCAGCTGAGAGAGAGAGAAAGGAGAGCTTGGCTTGGTTTGGAATTTTTGGGTTCCCTTTTAGGGTTCCGACCCAAAACCTGAAAGGGGGATTTATATAGAGAGAGAGAGAGAGACCTAGAGGGTCCTTGGAGCTTGCTTGGAGGATGTTACCCACCATTGGAGCTTGAAGAATTGAACATATTGAATTTGGAGAGCATCCTTTAGAGTACATTTTAAATTTAGGAGCTAAACAATTTTTCGAGCAACTCTAAATGAATAATTTGTTTCATTTGAAGGTGTAGACTCATCTCCATTGTAACACCCCACCCTAAAACTCATGGGTCGAACCACTGGTTCTCCCGAACAGCGAAAAATACTAACGGGGTTTACGTATTAACTTATCATTCAATACATATGCATCTTTCGTTTACTAAACATAACTAGAGGTGTATATATATATATATATATATATATATATATATATATATATATATATATATATATATATATAT